GTAATCCCAGCACTTGGGAGGCTGAGGCAGGAGGATCGCTGCAAGTTCGAGACCAGCCTGGGCTACCTAGTGAGGTCCAGGTCAATTTCAACTATGTAGTGAGACCCTGTCTCAAAAAACAAAAAACAACAAAAAATAATTAAAATTACAGGGTCTGTGTAAGATAGTGTTAAGAGAACTGAAGTACAAACTTCCGGCTGGGAGAAAGCATTCTCAATTCATTTATCTCATACAGGATTTCTATTCAAAACGTAAAAAAAAAAAAAAAAAAAGTTACTAAGACTCAGTAACAAGAAGCTAACTCAATAAAAATGTCCAAAAATTTTGACACAATTATTGAAGAAAACGTAGGAATGACAAGCTCACAAGTGAAAAGCTAGTAGACTTCACCAGTTATCAGGGAAAAGCAAATGAAGACAGTCTGGCAGCTTTCTGCAGAGCTCAATGCGCCATCTTATGACTCAGCACCCCACTCCCAAGGAGACCCAAGGATGGCGCATTGCCCTGCAGATTCCAACAGGACCATTCTCAGCAGCAGCTTCACCAGTCAGTGTTGTAGTCACTTTCCTCATTGCTGAGACACAACACCTGACACTCAAAACTTAAAGGAGAGGTTTATTTTGACTCACAGTGCACAGCTGGCTGGCTCCGCGGCAGGCAGCGTGTCAGAGGGGCCTGGTGGAGGAGAGCGGCTCACCTCATGGCGAATAGGAAGTAGAGGAGGGAGGAGCCAGGGAGGAGAGGAGCCCTTTCAGGCCACGCCCCAGGGGCCACCTCTTCCAGACAGACCCCCTCCAACAGCAAGCCAGCTCTGAGCCCTCATGACCTTCCGCAGCGCCTGTGAGCACATGAGGCTCTTGGGGACATCCAGATAAAATGGTAACAGTAAGCAACTGGACACAACCTGAATGTCCATGAGCAGAAGCACCACAAGGCCCAGCAGCAGGGTGAGCCAATGGCAGGCACAGAGATCAGCAGCAGAATGGTGAGCTGCTGGAGGCCGTGGCCTTCGAGAGCAGCCAGTCCCTCTGGCTATCTGTTGAGAAGAATACACTTCCTCTGACAATGTCCTTAGTGTCTCTGATGGGATCCTCTACCTGACCCGGGGCTGCTTCCTCTCAGACCAGTGCAGAGCTACCCAACAGCTGGCTGGCAGTGTCGGGAGGGTCTCTGCGTTGGGTTACAGGGGAAAGTGTCTACTTTGGTGTGAAGTTAGGGTAGACTTCTGGCCATAATGGGGTTGAATCTTTCATGTGCAAATGACTAACGCTTATATTATGTCATCTTCCTCTGCAATGCCATGACGGCTCTGTGACATAAAAATAAAAGATCATTGCTGAATGATACTTAAACGCTAGGACAGCAGCACTTTGCACTAAAACTCAATGGCCAATTAACTACTAAAACAGTAAGACCCTAAAAGTACAATTAAAAAAATATTTCAAGCTAAATAAAGTGCTAACATTAGCAAAAATGGAGTGAATAAGGCAAGAAGACGGCTAGCCAAGGTTCCAACCCAAGCCATATGCTTTTCTGGGGCAGGAAGTCCCAAGTGGTCATGAGTGCATTCTCCATGAGTCCCTGGGGCCACACACTGGGACTCACACGGACAGGCTGCTCATCTTCTCGGGCTGCAAAGCGAGAACTAGGGTAATGAGCTGATCCGAGGCACCACGCAGAAACCGATAAAGGCGGACGAGCCGTCTGGTAATGAGTGTCCCTCAGCTGCCGTAAATTAAGTGTGCTGAATCAGAGCTTTTAAAGCAAAAATCCAAAGAAACTGCAGAGTGGCCTAAAAACACACAGCTGAAGCATTAGATGAGCTGGCACGGACATCTTATCCCACCTCAAAGTTACTTTCTAATGTGCTCCTACCAGCGTAGAGCGGTAAGAAGTGAATGTGCACGTTGTGACCAGGGGTAGGCAGGGTTCCTGCAGGCTCCTGTTACAGAACTACTGTGAGAAAACTTCGAGAAAAGCTGTGTGCCGGCACCTGCCTGAGCCGGGCCACCGGCCACCAATGTGGGAGGGGAGCCTGGGATCCCCTGGACCCCCTGCCAGGTAGGAGCACGCACCTCTGGGATTCGTGTCCTGATGGTCTTTAGAAAGGCAGCCCTGAGCTGACAGGAAGGGACCTCCAGCACGCTCGGGGCTGATCCCAAGCCCTCTGGGACCTGGCTGTCCACAACTCAAGGCTTCCCATAGAGAAGCACTGGGCACTCTTTCTCCAGGCCTGCAGAGCTTTGAAAGCGCGGGTGCTGCCTCCAGGGAACAGCACGGCACCTGCCCAACTCTGGGGGCAGGAGGGAGGGTGCTGGGCCCCCCACACTTGGGACACGCGTGGCAGGAGGTGGCCGGGCTCAGAGCTGGGTCCGGGCGCCGCTCCTGCTCCAGGTGGGCCTGTGACCTGCTGCGAAGACGGTGGTGCCTGATTCCCCCAGCCAGTGGTGAAGATGTGGCCACGTGTGTTGAAGGGCGCACCCGTGCTCCAGAACTGAAGCGGGGAGGGCGTCCCACAGAGCACGACAACTGCCATGTAAATGCTGTAAAGGTGCTGTCAGTGAGACAGGTGAACACACTTCACTACTGAAGTCACTTCCCACGGAAGACTGTAACATCCAAAGCCACCTTCCCAGAGCTGCCCAAATGCTACCGGGACTCACTACGAGTCTGCTCCCTAGGCCGCCTGTCTGCTGTGTGTTTTGTGACAATGCTGGCATCAAAACCAGCACTACAGAGAGCCCGGCCCATGGAGCCCAGGAGCAGCCACCACACATGCAGAGACAGTTGACACCACTGGCCTGTCTTCCCGTGTCCTCGGGGAGCCAGGGACCCAGGAACGCACAGGGTCAGCCAGACACTGGAATTGCCCTGAAATGTGCAATGTGAAAGGGGTCCAAGGCGACAGGCGAGGTGTCCCCATCCAGGCTGCTGCTACTGAGGAGAAACAGATGCGTCACAGCAGGGCCCAGGCCACAGCAACCCCCGAAACATGTGCTTGACACGCACTGCGTTTATGTAAAATGAAAAGTTAAAGTCTTCCCATTTCAACCTTGAGGCTGGGCTGCAGGCCTTCTGCTCCTCTGGGCGAATCTGTTGAAATCCTACAAACATGAAGGGCACCACAAAGCCTAGGGCGGCAGCAGAACATCACTCGAGGCTGGGCTCGTCACTGGGCGCAGGAGAAACTGAGGCTCATGAGCTGCCATGCAGTAGAGCTAACGTGGGGCACAGGCTGGGGTCTGGCACGTGCCCCAGGGGGCACATCCTCAGAAGAGGCAGCGGACCGAGGCGGAGACTGCAAAGCTGAACGTAGGCCTGCTGTGGGTCCAGGGGAGCGGAGATGCTTTTGGGGGGACAGAAGACAACTGCACTAGGGGACGAGTGCTCCCCAACATCATTCCCATGGGATCCTGGAAACGTTAGGGTCTATCATGCAGGTGGGGGCCTCACTAACATTTCGTGTGGACGGCGTGTCCTTCACACAGCCCTGATGCAAACATTCTTCTCTCCCTACACAGCAGCCACAGGTTAAAGCCTCAGGATGGCTGTTACACCAGTGAAGTTACGCTGTCTCTGCAAATCTCAGCGGAGGGCCGGGCGCAGTGCTCGGCAGCCCGAGGAGTGGCTGAAGCCGCTGCCGGGAGCCGTGTGTCACGCAATGCTTCGGGTTCCAGAACAAAACCACAGTGACAGTTGACACTAAGTGCTTGCACGCACTGGCTCGCTGTGACTGGCTCCAAAACGCAGTGCTGGAGCCGGTCCTTAGTGGTGACGTTGAGAGGGGACCTGCAGAGGTGACCGGGTCGCTGGCTGACTGTCTAGACCTGCGGTGTGCAGCGGGTAGAGGTTCACCAGGCTCGGGATGAACACAGTGCCCGTGCCCTGCGGTCAGTTCTGGGGAGACCCAGCCGTCATCACGGTGACTCTCACCCCTCTGCCCCCACCCCGTCACCTCCCGAGATCGCTCTCTCCACACGTGTTCCTGTCGTTGGTTTCTTCTGTGGCCCTCAGGCCCTCACACATGGCAGACAGCATCGGCCCACTGAAAGGTTCAGCCTCCAGTGCTGGAGCTAAAAACGCCTCTTTCCTTTCCAACTTCCCATCCTCCAGTATTCTGCTATAGCAACAGAAAATGTCCAGAAAAAGTACTGTTGTTCCCTCAAATCTAGTATGCAGAGAAGCAAGAGGCACCCCCAAAGCATGCACCAACACAGGGTAGACACTCCAAGGGGCAGCGGCGCCCCCTTCAGTTTACCGCTCTTTCCTTAAGAATCGCGGCCATCAACAGGACCGGAGGGCCCGGGGACAGCTCTGCTTTCCCAGCCGGTGCACTTCCTGGGGCCATCAGCACTCTTTCCAGCGAACTCCACACTGCTTGCTCTCAATCTGGGACATGCCAGCAGCCAGGCACGGGACAAGGCCGCGTTCACGCGCACCGAAAGAAGCATGCTTTAGTGTACACTGTGCTTTTAGTCTCAAGCTCAAAAAATGTCAGTAAAGTGTTATTTTCATAGGGGCAAAAAAATACCTGAATTGTATCCTTTTAAGTATGGCTGGGCTTAGAAGTTAGGACCCTTGAATTCAAAAGCTCCTGTTCACTTTACTGCTAGCCACTGAAATTCTAAAAGAAGAAAAGAAACTGGGAATAAAGCACACAAAGGACTGGAGCAGATGCCACTGAGAAGGCTTCTGGGTGCACGCGGGTGGCCCCACGGGCACTCGGCCAGCCCCATCCCAGTTCCTACTTCCACAGCGCCCGAGTCTTTGACCCTGAGGCCGGAATGCGCACAACACACAAACGGGCTGGGGGACAGGGCACCAGACCGCCACGGTTCTTCTGTTCTTCTCTGGGAGGTCTTGCCCCTCCCGACGCCCTGCAGCCCACCCAGAGGCCCCTCTTCCCACACAGCTCTGCCGCTGCCTGGCAGGCCGGCTGCAGGCGGTGAGTGAGCACCGGGTGCAGGAGCTCAGGCTCGGACAGGGTGATGGATACTTGCCGCTGAGCAGGGGCTTGTTGAGCATGTAGAGTGGCGGTAGGTCCTCTATGTTGGAGATGCGCTGGTACATGGCCCGGGAGAGGTGGTCTCCGTGGTACAGGCTTCCCAGGATGATGCTGGAGAAGTAGATGGGCTCCACGAAGACACTGAGCAGGGACCCCTGGATGCCCACCACGTTCCAGCTGCAGGGGAGAGACATGGGTTCAGAGGGGAGAAGCAGCTCTCACGGCCTCATGGCATGGCTGGTGAGGCTACCAGATGAGAATCACGGCAGGGACAAGGGAGCAGCGGACCTGGGAGCTACAGTGGACAAGAGGAAATGTCTTAAAATTAAACTGTGACGTGACTCTAGGCCACTGTGTCCTCCCGTGATGACGCACTTCCTGGAGGCTCTTTCCAACCGGGTTATGGGAGGGCCACGTGTGCCTCCTGTGCAAGGCTTCCTGGAAAGTGTATCTTTATCAGCTCTTCCAGGGGTCCCTCAGAACACAGGCCTGGGCTTTCCCTGAGCCGGCCCTTGGAGCCAGCCTGCCTCGGAGAGGTGTGCTGAGCTTCCTGCCACCACCAGCCAGGGGACAATGGTTGGCGGGACTCACTGATGCTCCGGAGATGGAGGTGGGGTCCTGGCGTGGTGCTTTTCACCCCAGTAGTTTGGGAGGACAGCAACCCAACTGTACTGCACTCACTGCTGTCTTCTGAGCCCCACGGGTGGAGACACTGTGGCCTGGGCACTGCTGCACTCTAAGTAAGTGCTGTGTGCATCACAGTGACTGGGCGCCGATCACTTGGGGACAGACAAGGGAAGACACAGCTGGATGTAACAATAAAGCAACAAAAAGGCCAACAGTATGTGAAGAGCCTTGAGTTGAGGTCAGAAAAACTGGAATGAAAGGACAAGGTTCTGTGAAACAGGAAAAGGGAGTTCTGACATCAGAGGAGGCTCCTTGGGGTGAGTCTGGGGTACACCCTCCAGTGGAGGCCAAGGGAAGAAGGTGCCCCTCAGCCCAGGGATGATGGATGCAGGCCAGGAGGGGATAGCCACAGGGAAGAGGCCAGCGGGAGGCCAGGGGGCAACTTGGAGGCAGAGGCCGGCTCTCGCGTGACACAGGTGTCCCAGGGGAGGGCTGAGCAGGTGCACTTTTCAGAAAGCGATGGCAGCAGAGCAGGCGTGGTCACTGGCACAGGGACTTGGGAGGTGTCCCAGCCGCAGCAAAGGTCAGACGCAAGGGCCTAAGTGACCGGACAGGGAAGCCAGGGAAAAGCTAGAAACCATCAGGTTGGACTTGGGAAACGGGGGACCCGGGACGAGAGGAGAACCTGGAACTCAGAACATGCAGTCAACTACTCTCCTGTGCCTCGTGATACCCATGGTGGCCCAAGCCCTGTAGCACCCCACCCGGGATGCAGCAGAAGGCATGTGCCTTATGGGCCTCAGACTTGTGCCCTGCCCTCCTGCTTGCACTCAGAACGGACAGGCAGGAGCCCTGCAGGGCAGACCAGCACCCTATCTGCCCAGCTCCAGCCACCAGCTGCTTGGACTGTGGCCAAGAGGGTACAATGGACCTTAAAAATTAAGATTTTGGGGCTGGGGATTTAGCTCAGTGGTTCCACCGCCTGCCTCTCAAGGGCAAGGACCTGAATTTGAATTCGATCCTTGGTACCAAAAAAACATTTTTTTAAATTAAGATTTTTCTTCTTTCAAAGATAAACTATTTCTCCAAAGTCCCTCACGCTGAGTGTGTAAACTGCATTCCTTCCTCCGTCGTGAATCCATCTGAAAGAAACATACAGATGCCAGTCCAGGAGGGTGGAGTCAGTTTTTTTGTTTTTTTTTTCCATGAAAGGAAAGAGAAGCCAAGAATAGCCAGGCGCTGAAACTACACGGGGATTTCCTCTGTTGTCTCATTGTATTCCCCACTCTTTCTTTCTCTCAATAAAAGCCCTTGTACACTTGTACGCGGCAAGATGGAGACTTAACTCAATAAGAGGCTGATTTACTTTGGAGCTAGCTTTGAAGAAACATTCTTCCTTTCCACCAAATCAAATGGCCTCCTGTGTTTTTGGGGGAGCAGTAAGCAGTCTGGACCTGAGTGGTAAGGTCTGGCGAGCCAGCAAGGAGGGAAGTGCCAGCTCCCGAGCAGTGCAGGTCTCCCGGTTCCCAAGGTGGGAGGGTGGTGATCACTTGAAAAGGATGAATCACTGCTGGCATCGAGCTAAACCCATGATCGGGACTCCAGGGCCATCCCAGCAGCTGCCAGGACATCTTGCATCCAAGAAACTTTCCCTTCTTCCCTGTATAGGGCATCAGCTACCTATAAACACTTTTGCTGGTAGAAGAAAGGGGATTCTGGGAAGCTGATGGGCTCCTCCTGGATGTTGGGCTGGAAGTGCATGCTATGGCCTGATATCTCCACTGTTGCAGGCTCACGGAATAGCCTGGGTCACTTCTCAGTACCAGATGGGGTAAGGTAAGGTACTCCACTACTGGAACTTGGGAACTTGGGTAGTCATTTGGAACTGCTAGGTTATTTTGCGGTACTGACTGGAACAAGAAAGAAAATTCCCAGGAAATTAATTTTGTTTGAAGAATATTCATTAGGTTTTGGTTTGTTTTTCATTTTCCTTTGTCTTTCTTACTGCCACCTTTATTTCTAAGACAGGCAGTATGGTTTCAATATCATTTAGGAGCCTTCTAGAGGTTCCCTATACTAACCAGACAGATCACAGTCAGGCTTCTGTGACAAAAATGAGCTGATAAACCACTGCAACACAAACAGCTTAAATATGTATTATATCTGAAGACATGTCACCTGACAGTTCTTTATTCTATAATTGCAATGTTTTTGTAAAAATTCAGGTAAAAGGGGGTAAAAAGGCACAGATATAAGCCTTCATGTTATTGTATAATGAAGATTCTAAAAAGGAGAGAATTAAATCAATAGTTTAAAGAGAAGGAAATATTTTAAAACTCAGAGCAAGAACATTTAAAAAATTGAATAAAATCTATGGTAAGGCAGATTTTAAAAATCTTTTTCTGCTGTGAAGGCTATAGCTATGACTTACCTGGTCTGTCAATGTGCTTTTTATGTGGCCTAAAGCTAATAGTTTTAAGAAGTGCTAAAAAGATTTGCTTGCCTCTCTGTGATGGATAAACTGCTACTGTTTTCTGTAGCTCTCTTTTTTTTTAAGACTTTGAGGAAAATAATCCTTAGATGGTTAATGGTTCATTTAGACATCATTTACTTCTTTTATAATTTTTTTGAACTATTATTATATGTGTTACTCCTTACTTTTAAAAGACTGATTGTCTAGGTATAATGTCAATCATAATGGTTGTCTTAATATTATGTAAAAATAACTACATTCTTTTTCTAGGTTGCTATCTTGTACATTACTTATAGTCATTTAGCTGGCAAGAGCTATGTTCCTCTTAGTCAATAAGAGACAATCTTGCTTTATCATAAAAATACATGGTTTTAATTGGTAAGTAGGCATTAATTCTTGTAGTCTATATTCAAAACTTATGCGGCACTATTGTGTGTACCTAATAAATTCTAAAGATGTTACCAAACTCTGTTCCTGGTTTTGACGTGACTAAATTATGTCATTTCTTCCCAGATGTTAACTCACATTAGTTTGCAGGGCAAAGACTCTAAAAATATTTTTAGTGCACCTTTCTGACAGAACACAACTTGTTTCACACACAAAATGGTTTTCCTTGATAAAAACTAGATTTGTTTTACTCGTCTTAGTTGAGTACTTGCTTATAAATTTTCTAATTACTGCTTGCCAAAATTGCAATGTTTTAAGGTGCATATAACACCTACAGAATAGATGAAATTAAACTTGGAAATGGACTCTAGGTAAACAGCCTGAAAACCACTCTTTTCTCTATTGTTCAAATTTGGCTAAAAGAGATTCTGGAACTGGCTTTAACAAGTCTATCACTTCCCCTCTGATGTGGGACAGGTTATGGTTGACCACAACTAGGAAAAGCTCTCTTAGCTCTGAGGAACAACATTCCACAGTTGGGTGATTATCAGTGTTTTCACAGAAGAAAAAATGGATTTGGAGATGGTGTCAGCCAGATGACACAGGGCTTGGTACCATATTAAATGGTGAAAAACTGAAAGGTTTCCCTCCAAAATCATGAACAAGACAAGGATGTTCACTATCACCATTCCTGTTCAATACAGTCCTCGAAACATTAGCCAGAGAAATCAGATAAAGAAATAAAAGGGATACACGTATGAAACAGCAGAGTCAAAGCTTGATTATCTGCAGGTAACAGGATCCTCGACTTATAAGACCCAAAATATTCCACCCACCAAGAGACTAGAATTAATAACCAAATTCAGCAATGTAGCAAGATACAAAATAAGTACACAAAAATCAATAGCTTTCTTATACACTAATAATGAACTCAGAAAAAGAAATTAAGAAACTTATACTATTCACAATAGTATTAATAAATTAAATACTTAGGAATTAAGCTACCCAAGGAAGTGAAAGACCTCTATGATGAAAATTACATCACCTGAAAAACAAAATCAAAGAGGACATCAGAAAATGGAAAGACACCCCTACTCCTGGATAGGGAGAGCCATATAATAAAATGGCTCTACTTCCAAAACATATATATGACAATCCCAATCAAAATACTGGCAGCATTTCTCAAAGATCTAGGGAAAACCATCCTAAAATTCATATGAAACTGAAAAAGACCCTAAACAGCAAAAGCAATCCAGGGTAGGCAAAAGCAAAGCAGCAGGCATTCCAATCCCAGGTTTGAAGTTATACTACAAAGCTACTGTAATTAAAACAGCATGGCACTGGCGCAAAACAGCCATGTGTATCAATGGAACAGAAAAGAGAGTATAGAAACAATCTCAGGCACATTCAGTTATTTGATCTTTGACAAAGGGGCCAAAGATACACACTAGAGGAAAAACAACCTAAAAAAGTAAATGGTGCTGGGAAACCTGACCATCCACATGCAGAAGATTGAGACTCACTATGCACTAAGCTAAAATCAAAATAGATTAAGGATCTAAATGTTAAAACAGAAATACTTAATGTGCTGGAAGATGAAATAAAACTCAAAGACATGGGCATGGGCATGGTCTTTCTGAATAGAACCCCAATGGCACAAGAAATAATACTGAGAATCAACAAATGGGTC